GACAAGTATAGACACAAGTCCACTGTCTAACAGGACAAGTATGGACAAACGCCCTCTGTCTACAAATATGGACACAAGTCCACTGTCTAACAGGACAAAAATGGACACAATCTTTCTGAGACCATGAGAATATCAGTTTTAATTTTCACTAGTTTCTGTGCTATGATGAGCTCTAAATTCTGTGTCAGGCTTCTCAATCAAATCATTTCCCTTCAAATGTTCACACAATTAATTTACATCTATTTTTCCAACAATTTTCTTCCAAATTTAATTCATTTTTTTAATGAATAATTTCATTAAGTCATCGCTACTTAAAGTTTCAAAGATCCATGGCTGAACAGAGACAGGATGTGGACACCATTTGGACTCTTAGCAGCTCTGATGTTTCTTTCAGCTGACGGACCCACAGTGTCCCCTTTCCGTGGGAGTGACCCTATCAGAGCTCAGTCTGCAGGTACACACACACTCACACATGAACACGCTCCCTCTCCCTCCTTCACCTACCTGTGCACATATGATAACAAGTTAATTTTGTTTTTTCAGACCACAGATGAAAACTGGAAGCTGTGTATTCTGAATGAAGCTGCAAAGATCTTCTATAAGGTGACAGATACTCTGCTTGCTGTCTTCCTGAACAATCTGTTTGGTGCCTGCCATGTGTGGAAAGTTCTCCTCAATGTTTTATTTTTATTTCTTTTCTCTCTTATCACATTAACACAACAGAGTTCTCCAAACATTCTTTGGTTATGTTCGCACTGTTGGCTCCGTTTTCACATAAACTTCAAAATTATCACACCCAGATGTGTAGCATCCATATTTACTTCTGTAAACACATCATGCTGTGTCTGTACATGTGGGTCACTGTTCACACTGGAGTCACATTTAAAATATGTCAAAGTCGAAGTTTCTTTCCAACATTTTTCAGTCAGGTCATCTGGACAGTTTCTTTTTTTGGTGCTGAAACGTTTCGCCTTCGGTCCGGAAGGCTTCATCCGTCAAGGAAACACAACAAAACTGATTCTTCCTCCAACAGCTTAGTTGGAACAAACCAGTTCTGCTTGTGAATTTTCTTTATTTGTCACGACATTATGTTCACAGGATCCCAGTTAGATCCAAAACGTATAAATTGTAAAGAAAACCAGTAGTACGATCTAAGATATGAACTAAGAAATACTCTAACTAATAATACACTAAGTACTAATAGTATTAAAACAATACGCTGAACAACAGCAGCACGAACAGGAGTCTGTGTGAGCAGATGAATACGAATGAATGAATATGAATACGAGAAGCTGCTGAAAATGGAGGTTCGCTTGATCTTGACCAATACACATCCTCAGTTCTGGGTTACATTAGTACATGTACTGACACCGTCTCCACTATCAGAAATGTTAAAAGCTACCCAAACAGAAAACCTTGGCTGAATGCAGAGGTGCGTACCCTGCTGGAAGCCAGGAACACTGCCTTCAGGTCTGGAAACTCAGAGGAGCTGAGTAGGACAAGAAAAGAGCTGATTGCTGGTATTAAGAGGGCCAAGGCCACATATGCAAAGAGGATCGAGGGTCAATTCATCTCACAAGACCCTCGGAGCATGTGGAGGGGCATTAAGTGCATAACAGATTATAAAGGAAGGAGTGAACAATGCCCCAAAGACCCATCTCTGCCTGATGCCCTCAACAAGTTCTATGCACGCTTTGAAGACCCGAACAGACCACCCAGCACCAGACTCACCTCGCCACCGGATGAAGAGCATCTCAGCGTGACCTCAGCAGAAATAAGGAGTACCTTCAGGAGGATTAATCCGCACAAAGCAACTGGCCCAGACAACATCCCCGGAACAGTGTTGAAGGAATGTGCTGATCAGCTCTGTGAGGTGCTGGCAGACATCTTTAACACCTCACTTACCCTGGAGACAGTTCCCACCTGCCTGAAGACTGCCACCATCATCCCAGTCCCAAAAAGCTCTACAGTGACTGGTCTGAATGACTATCGGCCAGTGGCCCTCACCCCGATAGTCGCTAAATGCTTCGAAAAACTGGTCATGACTCACATCAAAACAAACATCAACATCAACGAGGACCCTCACCAGTATGCATACCGTGAGAACCGATCAACAGAGGATGCCATCTCCTCTGTGGTCCACACTGCGCTCAACCACCTGGAGCAGAAAAACTCTTACGTCCGTATGCTCTTTGTGGACTTCACATCCGCCTTCAACACCATGATCCCCCAAACCCTGATAGACAAACTATCCACACTAGGACTAAGCCCCTCCATTTGCAACTGGGTACTAGACTTTTTAACAAACAGACCACAGTTAGTGAGGATCCACAACCTCTCCTCCTCCACCATAACCCTCAGCACTGGCTCTCCTCAGGGATGTGTGTTGAGCCCCCTCCTGTTTACTCTGCTCACGTATGATTGTGCAGCTACCCATCCAGGCTGCACATTGTAAAGTTTGCAGATGATACAGCGGTGGTGGGATGCATCACAAACAATGATGAGTCCAGCTACAGGCAAGAGGTGGAACACCTGGAGAGCTGGTGCAAAGAGAATAACCTTCACATCAATGTGAAGAAGACAAAGGAGATGATTGTGGACTTCAGAAGGAACAAAAACATCTACACCCCCCTGAACATAAGAGGATCTGCGGTGGAAGTGGTCTCCAGCTACAAGTACTTGGGTGTACACATGAATGACAACCTCAGCTGGAGCAACAACACCACCAGCCTGATCAAGAAAGCTCATCAGAGACTCTACTTCCTCAGGTGGCTGAGGCGAGCTGGTCTGGGAAGCTCAGTCCTCACCTCCTTCTACAGGTGTGCAGTGGAGAGCATCCTGTGCTCGAGCATCAATGTGTGGCATGGAGGCTGCACAGCTGCAGAAAGAAAAGCTTTGCAGAGAGTGGTGAAGGCTGCACAGAAATCTGTCGGAATCAGCCTCCCCACCATCACAGACATCTACACCTCCAGATGCAGGAAGAGGGCCACCTGCATCATGAAGGACCCCACTCACCCAGCACACACACTTTTTGACCCACTCCCCTCAGAAAGGAGGTTGAGGAGCATTAAGTGTAGAACCACTAGACTGAGGAACAGCTTCTACCCTGAGGCTGTTAGACTCATGAATCTTTAACTAGAATAATCACTGTGAAAAACCATATCATGTTGCTGCTGATCTGTTTCATGTTGCTGCTTATCTGTTTCAATGTTGATGTGTTCATGCGTGCACATCTGCTCACAGACTCATGCTCATGTTTGTGCTGATGTTCAATGTTTTTATGTTATGAGTGCTTAGTGTATATTTAGTTGATGTTTTTCTTAGTTCATATCTTAGATGTTATTACTGTTTTTCTTATACATTTTATTGTTGGATGTAACTGGGACCCTGTGCACATAATTTCGCTCCACCACATGTACCACATGAGGTGCAAATGACAATAAAGAAACTCTGACTCTGACTCTGACTCTGAATGAATACAGCAGCATGAAATAAATCAGCAGCACATATAAATAATCAAGTGGCATTACAGTGATTTTTTTTTTCACAGTGATGATTTCTGGTTAGAGATTCATGAGTCTAACTGTGTCAGGGTAAAAGCTGTTCTTCAGTCTAGTGGTTCTAATTAATTAATTTAATTTCCCTCTGGGATTATTAAAGTATTTTTGAATTTGAATTTGGATTCTACACTTAATGCTCCTCAACTTCCTATTAAGGATTAAACCTCCTGAAAGTACTCCTTACTTCAGCTGAGGTCACGCTGAGAAACTCTTCTTCCGGTGGTGAGGTGAGTCTGGTGCTGGGTGGTCTGTTCGGGTCTTCAAATTGTGTGTAGAACTTGTTGAGGGCATCAGGCAGTCATGAGTGCATTGTGCACCTCTGCCTTTATAATCTGTTATACACTTAATGCACCTTCACATGCTCGATTTTGAGGTGAATTGACCCTGGATCCTCTGTGTATATGTGGCTTTGGCCCTCTTAATACCAACAACCAGCGCTTTCCTTGTCCTTGTCAGCTTCTGTGAGTTGCCAGACCTGAAGGCAGTGTTCTTGGCTTCTAGCAGGGTGCGAACCCCTGCATTCAGCCAGGGCTTCTGGTTGGGGTAGCTCTTAACATATCTGATGTTGGTGACATCATCAGCACATTTAGTAATGTACCCCAGCACTGAATATGTGTATTCCTCCAGGTCTAGTTCCCTATCATTTACAGCTGCTTCTCTGAAGACCTGCCAGTCTGTGCATTCAAAACAGTCTTTCAGTATGGAGTCACTATTCTTCATCCAACTTTTGACTTTCCTTTGTATTGGTCTGGAGCATCTCAGCGGTGGGAGGTAAGCAGGGGCCAGAAAGATAGTGATATGGTCAGAAAGTCCTAGTTGGGGGTGCAATGTGGCTTTGTATATGTCTCGTATGTTCATGTACAGGTCCTTCTCAAAAAATTAGCATATTGTGATAAAGGTCATTATTTTCCATAATGTAATGATAAAAATGAAACTTTCATATATTTCAGATTCATTGCACATCAACTGAAATATTTCAGGTCTTTAATTGTTTTAATACTGATGATTATGGCATACAGCTCATGAAAACCCAAAATGTCTGTCCCAAAAAATTAGCATATCTTGAAAAGGTTCTCTAAACAAGCTATTAACCTAACCATCTGAATCAACGACGTAACTCTAAACACCTGCAAAAGATTCCTGAGGCTTTTAAAAACTCCCAGCCTTGTTCATTACTCAAACCGCAATCATGGGTAAGACTGCCGACCTGACTGCTGTCCAGAAGGCCATCATTGACACCCTCAAGCAAGAGGGTAAGACACAGAAAGAAATTGCTGAACAAATAGGCTGTTCCCAGAGTGCTGTATCAAGGCACCTCAGTGGGAAGTCTGTGGGAAGGGAAAAGTGTGGCAGAAAACGCTGCACGACGAGAAGAGGTGACCGGACCCTGAGGAGAATTGTGGAGAAGGGCCGATTCCAGACCTTGGGGGACGTGCGGAAGCAGTGGACTGAGTTGGAGTAGAAACATCCAGAGCCACCGTGCACAGGCGTGTGCAGGAAATGGGCTACAGGTGCCGCATTCCCCAGGTCAAGCCACTCTTGAACAAGAGACTGCATCACAAGCATCTCGCCTGGGACTGCTGCTGAGTGGTCCAAAGTTATGTTCTCTGATTACAGTAAATTTTGCATTTCCTTTGGAAATCAAGGTCCCAGAGTCTGGAGGAAGAGACGAGACACAGAATTCACATTGCTTGAGGTCCAGTGTCAAGTTTCCACAGTCACTGGGGTG